CTCAATAAGAATACGAAGAAAAATACTTGAAAGTTCAGTTATCTCTAAATAGAGGGAGAAAAAATTAAGAAAAAATACTTGGAAGTTAAGTTATCAGAGGCGACTGCAGGAATGAACTCTCATTGAAGGTACTTACACAAAAAGCGCTCTGATATCCAAAGTTGCCAAATTTTTTATTTCACTGATTTTCCTAAAACTTGTATTACTGTCAGATGCAAAAATCAGATTGGACAAATTTTGACATTTTTACTTACACTTACTTCAATTTCTTTTACATAGTAAGTTTATCTACAATCTATGATATTTCCATATAAATAATTTTATTTTAACTCATTTGTGGCACAGTGCAGCGGCGGGCCGGGTGAACTGACCTCGCGGGCCATAGTTTGGTGACCCTGCATTAGAGGGAAACATGGAGTTATCCAATGTTTTCAGTAACGTTGGTGAGGAATATTTTCGACTGAATCAAATTGGAGTTTTGGAAAGATAGTGAAAGTTCCTGTAGAATGTGAAGCCTACTGACAATAGAATATGCACAAAAATAAAGTTTTGTATTCTGTTTTGACGCAATATTTTAAATCACCTATATTGAGCTATATCATGTTGATATTGTCCTATTTCTCTACTTTAACCCTTTTCTTCCTCATTGAAATTGTGAAGGAAGACTCACGTGCATGCAAGTGGTAACAGTATTAGCTTGAGATTTTGCGAGGTAATGGTATAGTGTAAAGCATGGGCTGTTGTTGTTGTTGTTCCTCGGTAATATGTTCAGAGTTTCCTTTCGATGTGTCACAGACGATTTATCCTGTCGAGTGAGAATCCCATAAGAAATCTGTCGGATTGGAATGTTTATACCCTTTGGAACATTCACTACAGGTCCTATACGTGCACGTGTATGCCTATAGAGATGGCACTTGACCAAATCAGAGATTTGATATTACTGATTTAAAATATAGCAAATTTCGTTTAACCGTGACTTTAGAGCTTTCAATCCTACACTTATAGCAGGACTTTTAAGGAATGAGAAACCAGCTTGCCATATCTTCCTCAATC